AAATATTGTTGAATTTATTGAACAATTGGGAAAAAAGACTGAATGCATTTTCGTCAGAATAATTTTTAACTTACAACAAATTTTACATTTTGTAAAATTCTTTCAAAATTTTGATGTGTTGCGTAGATATTCCACAGCAACTGCCTGTTATATATCTTCACTGAACTGCACTATCTGAATATTTTTATAGCAAATTAGAAGCATTTCTTCAGACCTTCCCCATGAGCGTTTAAAATAAATATTCTATACCGCTTCCTTTTTTGGATACTCGCTAAAACAAATCATATCCTCAATTTTATATCCACATCCAATATGTATTAAGTATAATTCTTATACCAGACCTATCACAGTGGCTAAAAGACCCATGAACATAAAGTAAATTCTAAAGATGTGACCTAAGAGAAATCTGCAGCAATCTAAATAAGTTAAGAAGCGGAAGTCCCGGCACAAATTCATTTGTATAAATTTATTCTTATTTCAATAAGAAATATTTAAAAATATTGATCTTGTTTGTACGAAACATGCAATTAAATTAAGCGTCATTAAAAAAGGAATAGTTAATGCAAATATATACCATGTCCACAAAAGTCCCTACCCGGAGTTTAATTTTGCAACTTAAGTAGAACCTACTTAAGCTGTCCGGAGTTTATTATGGTCGTAGACATAAACGTTTAATTACAAAAATGTTTTAAACGACGCAAAAAATCATGTTTTGCTTTTTAAATTAAGAAACATTAATTTTTTGTAAGATTCGAGATCTAATTTTTTATACGTTCGCACGATTGCTATATTTATATTTAGGAAAATTTTATACTGGTTATAAAAAGTAAAACCGAAAAGTTTGATATTATTAGCCCGAAGAATTAACCAGCATATTTGGGTTTAAAGTCGCGGATCATATCTGGGGATCATACATAAACTAAGGAGCGAAATGTTCGTATGTATAAGTAACTAAAAGCAAAATATCAGTTTAGAAAATGGTTTCTGATATTAATAGATTACGCGAAGAGCATTTATATGCAGATAATTGCGAAACGTATTGATTAATAGAATTTTCTTTCAAAATAGAGATCATATTCACAGAATCTCATAGGATTTCTGTTCTCAGCGACCTAGTAATATAAATTGCATTCATTAAAAATAAAAATATTTGTAGTTTAAGGAATTGCCGTACAATGACCCATATTATGATTCTAAAGTAATTAAAACTTCATGAGAATATTAATAACATACTTTTAAACTTATAAATTACTTGTGTGAAATTTTCTTTGTCATACAATGTAAAATATATATTATATATATATACCGAATTGCTTGACTCTTTAGTAAATATATATATATATATATATTTACTAAGAAAGTTGATTATATTATCTCCTAATATTAATTTTAGTAGAAGTATCTAAAAAGAGTGACCCATAGGTAGGAAGTTTAATTCCGAAAATTGTTTTAAAGTAACTTTAATGTAAATTGTTAAAATGTATACGGTTTATCATACAACATTATATATATATAAATGAAATGTACTATTAAATTACAAAACAGCATCATTTAATGTTATTTGTAGGCGTAAATGAACTTCGAGGTCTCGAATTTATTTACTAACTGATCTCTGAATACAAATTGTACATGACGTCAAAAATCGCAGATTTTCAGATTAAATATACCAATCCATTTTTTCAGTACGAATCAAACTTTTCTTTTTTTTTTATTTTTTATAATGAGTACTAAATTTTCGTAATAAAAATGTAGGGACTCGAGGTAACGTGCAAAATGTTCAATTTCTTATTTTGTACAAAATTAATTTCTTTAAATTTAAAAATGTCAAAATATAAATCTTTGGGCCATTTAAAACATTTTTGCAACTAGTAGTATGTAATTACGACAAACGGTTGTTAAAATAAAGACCAAGTAAGAACTTTTGTGGACACTGATTATCTTTGCACTTTGCAATTTTGCATTGTCGCATGTTAAATGTTTCTCTGTAGCTTTCCTTAGATAACTAGGTCAGGTAAACGGAAAACCTTAAACTTTATTTTTGCTTGAGTGCTTGAAATGGTTAACAACTCAATAGCTCAAAATTCTGCAACTGGTTAAGAATTCTAACCCAACTTGTTTATGGCTGCTCACAGCTTCATTTTATACTATTTATCAATGCGTCTAGATAAAACAGCTGGAAACTTTTCGAAAAATCTCTCCTTTGCGCTCAAAACATGATTTTGGGACTTTCCATAATGAACATCATGTTGACTAGAGCTAGGCAAGACGTATTTTCATTCCTCCGGTTCTACTTAAGCTATCCTTATAAATCCAACTTAAGTCGACTCAAAATTAAAAGCTTTATGAAATAATACAAATAATAAAAACAAAGTAACATACAGAAATTCAAGATTAAACGGAACTAAATCAGAAATATATATGAAATGACACAAACAATGCACTAAATCAGACGATAAATATATACGAACAAGTACATAACAGTGTAAGGTAAGATTTTAAAAATATGAAAAAATACCAACCAACAAAAAAAATGAGGTAAGTAAATAATAAATTAGAACAAATGCACAACAATACAGAAATAGATAAAAAAATCGACTTGCAATCAACAAGAGAAAATATGGGCTAATTTTTTCGCTCATCCAAAACATAATTTATTGTGTATTATTTCACAATGCATAATGAATTTAATTTTTGTGTGCTAATTCTTAATGAATTTAATATAGTATCATTTAAACATAATTTTCTCTTGAATGCGCTAGATTTCTTAAAAAGTTAGTGGAAAGGATTGTAAGCTAAAAAGCGAGTGATTTTCTTTCGCAGACTACTACCCTCCTTCGGGTCATAGGATGGCGGACAGCCGCGGTTCCAGCTCCCCTTAACTTTCAAACTACACACGTGTGTCACTCGTGGGAAGTGAGAAAATTTCGACTTCCCTCGAAGAAGAAATTTTTCTGATTTGTTTATTATAGCCGTTGTCCGAGAGAATTTCGGTTAAAAGTGTTTCTTGAAGTTTCGCACGAGAACAGGGAAAGTCACTTATTAAATATCAATTATAAATAAGTTAACAGTTACACAGCAAATCCAAATGTAACAGTTACACGACAAATCCTCTTTCCTTATAGAAGATTTTTCTCGCAAAATGTACACTTATTGTTAATTTTTTATGAATTACGAGGATGTTAGTAAATCTATGGTATTCTCAAGAAACGTGAAAACTAGCATTTTCCACTATTCTCGAAACCTCTTGCTTATTGTTTCTATGCTGCATTGTACTGTATCCTTCCACCAAAACTTTAGATCAATAAATAGGTATGGCACTTAAAAATACCCTAAATACGATGTATGTATCTCACACCTATATTTGTGTGAATTGTCTGAACATTTCGTTTAGCAAGGCCGTTGTCGAAAAGATGCTCTCTCTTTTCTCAAGGTAAAAGCGCTGTATAGAAAGCATGAAATTTTACTTGTCAGTGCCGTATTGCATAGTGTATATATAAGACATGCAATGTCATAATTATGTAAATATGTATATGCACAGCACTATACGTGCACTGAAGTAATTTAGTTGCAACCGCCTTCTGCACACATGTAGTGTATATGTACTAGCCCTGCATGAAAGCTCCCCCAAGCTCACTTGCGTAATTACAGAAATAATTATTATGTTCTATACGTAGCTATATGCAATCTCTAGCCAACTTTAGATAAGGGTGGACGTGGTGCTGTACTGATTAATCCTTACGGCAAAGGGACAGTGCCCCCGTCCACCGTCACTTATCACTTATCACTTATGGTACCGTTACTCTTACAAGTAAGTTCTTTTCTCTACCTTCTGAAGTGGCAAAGTATTTTGCATCAGAGAAAATTTACCGCTAGAGATTTTTTTTACTTAAGCAGGAAAAGCACTGATGCATAGCATAGACCTGCGGCTTTTAATGGGAAAAAGGCATCCAAACTGCATTGAATTTGGGAGGGTTCGTCTAATTGTTTGGCTTTAAATAAAACTTTCCGTCAAAATATAAATCCTCTCTAAAAGGAACTTTAATGTTTAAATTGAAATACGCACTTTAATGTTTTTTCCCAATGGCAAATTGTGAACAGTTACAGTGTAGCACAGTCCATTAATCTATACAAGGCCAGATGTGGCGGTCTCTTTATTATGGAGGCACCTAATAGGTGGGCCACCATTGCCTCCTATGAAGGGGACGGACAGTTACAACCATGCCTTCTCCGGGATTCGAACCCAGGCCCTTCGGTATCGCAGTCAGGCTTCCCTAACCACTATACCGTCTGGGAGGCCGCATTTTAATGTTCACATTGAAATTTCAAAATCTAAAATAGATTTAAAATTTAGTTCAAACATTATTTTATAAATATAATAATGTTAGAAATATAGAATTTAAGAGCTTTTGCCAGCCAAAAGCGTTATCCGGCTATTTTAAAATATTGCATGCAATTTATTTTATTATTTCTAGGATAATAAATACAATTCAAGTAAAAAGTATTCTTATCATACTAATTTTAAATCTTACATTTTCCCGAAAATGGATTTTCAATCTACAAAACCATTAAATCTTAGCAGTAGTGTTGTGATCCTAAAAGCCAATTACTCGGTTAAACATCTTAAGCCCCTTGGAGAGAACTCGAAGGCTGCCTTATTAAAATAAATGCATGGGATTTATAGCGTTATTCGCGTGACTTTGAAATTTGATCACTTATGTCCGCAATAAATTAGGAAAAGAAGTATTTTTTCACAGAAAATGGGAGTGAATGTTCAGAAGATGAATTATAAAATCCCTCGTTTTAATGGCAATGTGATCTCTTTATCGGCTGCAAATTAAAAGTGAACATTAAGGCATAAAGTAAGGGAATTTTCATTTAATCTGAATTCTTTGAAAGTCATGTAAACTTCTTCCATTTATAAAATTTGAGAAAAAGAATTCTTCACATATATTTTTGACTGAAATTGGATTTCTGTTTCTAATTTTCAAATGTATATTTAGGAGAAGATTGCTCAAGTCATAGCAGTGCTTAAATCGTATTTGCTGGGAAAAGGTCAATATTTTTAAAAAGCGCCAAAAGCAGTGCTTCTGATGAGTGTGATGTGGTATTCATTCAGTCACACCGCCTTCAACGAAAAACGTCCGCTTTCTATTCACGCAGCTAAAAAGTAAGTTTTGCTGCTTTCTGTAAAATGTTTTACGTATATTATTAGCTTTTGTAATAAGTAGATTATTTGTTGGTGCATATTTCTTTTTCTGTAGTAATTAAACGGTTATTTGGTTAGAACAGCGCCGTGATGTTTCGTTTGGAATACAACTCAAGTAACATCTTAAACCATAACAACGTCAGATTCCTAAATCGTAGCCGCTATGATTTAGGATTTGGTACAACTTAACTAACCGTAGAAGTTATGGCACAAATTTGGTAACTTCGGTAGTTTGGTACCAGTTTGGTAAGTGCACTAGTTTGGAACGATAACATATAGAATGGAAAATGATGTTTAATTTGTTTTTATTATACAGATCCCAAAATGTCAAAACTAATTTAAAACAAATGGAAACAATAAGATGTGGTTGAAGCGTTAATCAAATTACGAAATGAGATTTAATAAGGCTCATAGGCAGTATGGAATTCCTAAATCGACTCTCCGACGTCATCTTCAAGAATTAATGCAGCTTAATGGCACGTCAGACTTGGAAGGCCCAAAGAAATAGAACAAGACATAGTTATTCTTACATTAGAATCATGTTTTATTGGAATCACAGCAACCGATCTAAGGAATATGGAGTTTGAATTAGCTGAAAAATATAAACTTCCGCATCTTTTTAACTTTTAAATGAACTGCTGGGGGAAAATGGCGAAAGACTATCCTTCCTTATTCCAAGTACGCAAAGATCCTCGTGTTTATGCACTCCAAAGGCAACCTCAACGGCAAGAGATAGAAGTTTTAATAAAGAAGGTGTTTATGAATTCTTTTACAAGTTCGAAGCAACACTAGATGAGCACAAATGCTTTGCTCATCATATATAAAATGTTGATGAAACTGATCTTTCGATAGTCCCCAAACCATCGGAAAACACGAAGTGTTTACTAGCGAAAGAAGGAGTGCCACAATGCTATGCATAATGTTGCATGAATGCTGCTGATAAAGTTTGTGCCTTCAGTGCTGATATTTAAACGCATGAATTACTGTCTCACGCAAGGATCTCCACTAGGATTCATATTTACGTGCTCAAAGAATTAGATGAATAACAGAACTTTCTGTTGAGTGGTTAGACCATTTCATCAAGTACACCGAGTTACCGAAAAGCAGCAAGTTCTAATTTGTTCAGATGGTCATGCCCCTTATCCGATAAATACTGACGCGATTCAAGTTGCACATGAATATAACATAAGACTGCTGTTATTTCCTGGGTTTCTTGGAAACATTTCGTCGGCGCAAATCTCGCCAAGCGACACGATACAGTATACACATAAAAAAAATTTATCAAATGTTAGTTCTAAGAATTGTTTATTTTGAAGACATAAACTTTTTAATATAGTTTAGAATTTTATAAAAAGACAATAAATTTGTAAAAAGACATTAATTTAAGAATTTACTATGCTTTCGTGGTTCCACATCCTGATTCGCCAGTTCATATCACGTGATCCCGAGTGATCTCATCTCACGTAAACTACGCTACAAAAATATAATTTCTACATTAATTTCAAGTTAAATCTTAATTTGGAATTCAAATTTAAAATGCAAGAATTATTTCAATTCGTACGAATAGCTTACTCAGAAATTATGTAAAACCGCACTGCTTTACTTCGCTAGTGCATTCTGATTAGAATTCATGAATTTAACCTTGGACTTTGCCTTTTCTATATTTTCGCCTTCGGGTGAGCGGTGTGATTGCCTCCTAATTGACTAAATTACCGCGAATAGGTCATAAAATTGAGCTATCTGGTAATAATTCTACGTAATTTTATAACCAGTATTGGGAGAAACAATCAATCTCATAAGAAATAGCTGCGACTTGTTTTGAAAATGAGGCGTAAAAGGTTACCAGCGAGGATATTCCGTTTGGTATCAGTTGTACCACTATTGACGACTTTATCGCCTGCACCGGCAAAACGGAAAAGTACCGTTTCCTGTTCATACATCACACCGTCTTCATCCTCAAGATAGACCTTTTTAAAATCTCTCAAAACCTAATATATCGTAGCGGAATCTGTTTGTTACGAACAAATCCGAGAAGGTAACTAATTAAGCTACCATTTCTAGACAACTGGGCGTTGCATTTCCCAAAGCCATTCGTTTGGGCACTGCTTTAAGGGGTTTCAGTTCTACAGGTTTATGACCATGCAACTGACACATATTTCAGGATGAACAGTTTTCCATTTTTATTCTAATCGATGAAAACTCATCAGGTGGTAAATTAGCACAAGCTGAGATATTACTCACTATTGAAAGCTCTCCAGTTGACACAGGCCCACCAAAGGCCGAGCGGTAAAGACGCTGAACACTGGTAGTTCGGTCCGAGGTTCAAAATACCGCGAACGAGCTGGCTGCGTGGGCGTTTTCGTGATTTTCCCCATGTGTAACGTGTATACGAACCAGTTTCCCTTAGAAAGTCCTCCACGAAGGCATCCCTCCCTTTTAGGCAGATATCCCTCGTGTGCTTTGCCATAATTAAATAATCCAATTCAATCCAGTTGACACAATTCCTCCAGCACACCAGGTGACTACCGATGAAATTCTGATCGGCACTCTTTCTGGAGAACCTATCGCATCAATTTCACTGTTGAGTCAAAGCAAAATAAAATAGGATATAAATGCTTTATATCCCATTCCACAGTTGGGAGATGTTTCTCACTGTTTCCGTAAAGATATACGTTTGTCTATAATAATAACCTTTTCCCCGCAAAAAGCTGAGATCGAAATGAAGTCTAAAATTCAAGGCACAGTTAAAAGGAAGCCAGAAGTTACAAAAACGAAAGCCGGAAAAAGTAAAGGAGATTGGTTTTCTATGGCGAAGTACGTGAAGAATGTATAGTTTGTTTTATGTGATTACGGCAAAGCCACGAGGGCTATCTATCTAAGAGGAGGAATGCCTTCGTGGAAGAATTTCTAAGGCAAACTCGCACGTTGCACATGTTACACATGGGGAAAACCACGAAAATGCGAATGGAGCCAGCCCGTTTGCGGCATTCGAACCTCGAACCGAACTACCAGTGTACAGCGACTTTCAGCCAGAGCGTGCCTGTGAAGAAAGTATGATTCAGTGTCTGAAATGTAAGGTTTGGTGCATGGCATGTGCACTGGCGGGGGCAAAAAGACAAAAAATACTTATATGTCATATCTGCACTTAATAGTTGAAGTAATAGGATAAGGTTAGGTTTTTGCTCAGCTTTTATTCTTTGGTAAGTTTTAAGCCATATATAGTACGATTTTTGATGCAAATCCCATAATCTTTATTATTTTTGCTACTTTAATCAAAAATACATGCATTTTAATTTATTTTACGCTCAAACGAAGAATGTTTTTTTTCCTAAGGTATTGAGGAGAAAAAGCTTTTCTTTTTTTCTTAGCAGATTTCTCATTAATTAGTGATTTTTCTAAAGGGAACTTGAGCAACCTTCGTTTATATTATAATGAAGGGAAATGTACTAATCTAAATTTTCAAATAAGGCCAAATAAAATGTTGGATTGGCGTCAATTTTATCGAAAAGCTTTACACATTTTAACAGAGACTGGCATGATATCTTCGAATTTTTTTGATGCAAGAAACAGAATGAAACTAATATTTTACATACTGCTAACTCCCCAGATTTCACCATTCGGGTTCAATCTTGTAGAACTTCCAGCTCACCAATGGACGAGATTTTACTGAATGTTGCTGAGCATTGATAATTCAAACCTGATTCCTAACTTGACGGACGAGCTGACTGCATGAAAGTTTTAATGGTTTTTCCAAGGTTAGCTTCTTCCCAACGCTGGCGTCATTTATTCACAGAAGTAGGAGAAACAAGACTCAAAGGGAGTACGTAACAATTTGCTTTTGAGTAGAATTAGAGTCGATGACGTCATACAAGATCAAACTTTCCATGATGGTAACTCTAATTTTTCCCATGCGTAAAGTGAAAACTAGCCGGTTTCTCTTAAAAAAAGTCATCAGTGAAGACATCACTCCTCGTAGACACATAGCCTTCGTATGATTTGATATATTTCAAGTAATTCAGTTCAGTCCGCCCCTTTCTTTTACTTGATACTGTAACAGCACAGAGTAACTTTAATTTCAGAAGTGCAGTTTATGAAATACCATTTTCTGCTTGCTTTTCTTACCGGTTACAGCCGAAAACATCGCGGCAAAAACATCGCAGACGAAAACGTCGCGGAGGAAACGACGCAAGGCGAGAACAAAACATCGTGGGAGAAAACATCGCAGACGAAAACGTCGCGGAGAAAACGACGCAAGGCGAGAACAAAACATCGTGGGAGAAAACATCGCAAAGAGAAAACGTCGCAGTTCTAAAACATCGTGGTACAAAACATAGTCGTCGAAAATAAAGCGGTTCAAAAACTTCGCAATTTAAAAACATCGTCGTCGAAAATATCGTGGTAAAAAATAAAGTATCTACAAATCATCGCATGACGATAACATCGCAGAAATGCTTTAATAACTGTAAATGGATATTCCCATAATGATTCGTGAGCGCAAGATGGAAAGAAGTATAATTTTACTTTCATATTTTTTATTAATTAATACATTTTTGCTGAGAAAATAAAAAGGAAACTTAAGCATAGAAAATGAATGCAACTTATAGCACTTAATAGAATTTTAAACCGACATAGTTAACTAACAAAGGCCAATAATAAATCATTTTTATAAAGTTTTTACTGGTAATTTTTCATGAAAAGTATAATCTATAAGTTGCATTTAATTTTGTATGCTTAAGTTTCCTTACTTTTTTAGCAAAAATTTATTAGTTAATAAAAAAATGTGAAAGTAAAAATTATCCTTCTTTACACCTTGTGCTCACAAATCATTATGGGAATATCCATTTATAATTATTAAAACCTGAAAAAAAGCATGTCTGCGATGTTATCGTCATGCGATGATTTATAGATACTTTATTTTTTACCACGATATTTTCGGCGACGATGTTTTCAAACTGCGAAGT